ACTATTGAAGGGAAGTCTTGGATAACCTGCTGTTCAAACACGCAGCAGAGGTAGGATTTCTTTGTCACTAGGCTGCTTGCTGAGGTGCACAGCACATTTACTATACATCCAGGAGACCATTTAAATAAGACTATATGAGATTAGACTTTGGAAGATTTCCTTCAGCCAAATTTTCCCCTAATTTAAACAGGCAAATAGCAAATGTTCAGGTGAAACAGAAATGCAGCCCTAGAAACTTCTGTTGCTGTGACTGTGTTTCTACTTCAGAGGTGAAGAGCAATCTCTATTTCTGAGTTAAAATACCAGAACTATCTTTAAGGCACACCTCCTGGAGCAGAAATCAGCAGCAAAATCTGAAATTTATTGAACGTATCGTCTTTGTATTTAAAGAAATTACAAGCTTCTCTATAACTAATATGATATGCCTTGTGAATTCTTCCATTTTAAGTAGCCAAAAATCTCCCAGCAAATACAGACAATAACTGGAAGAAGATGGTAATTTTTACTGTAGTCTTTAGCATCATTTGGAAACGAAAAAATGCCTTCCTTTTTTCTTACCTTTAAGCCAAAGGAAGAATGAAACATTAACTTTAGCAACTTAAGAAGCAACATAATTTTTGATTTAGGACAGATTACCTCATACTTGTCTGGAACTTGAACAAATGAAGACTAAAAATGCAAAGCATACGCAAGAACAGCTGTGATTTCTGACTTCAAGTCTGCTACTCTCCTTGGAGAAAGCTGGTTCGGTGGGAAAAAAGAAGACAAGACTGGCCAGGTGCTTTAGGTTCCCTCACAGTATAGTGTATTTTCAGCATATGACTCTAGTAACGATCATAAATTAAACTTTAAGTAACTTTATGATTACCCATACCTGTAATTTAGAAAATGATATAATATAGTTATCCAAGGTGAAAATGTATTATAAATACAAATGTCAACTTTTGCAGTGCAACCTTTTATCAACACTTTATAGTCAAAGGATTTTAGTGTTTTCAAGGCAGATCAAATTTATATTAATGACACAATCACTTTTCCTCATACCAGACTCCTGTTCATCAAGTCAGTCAGCAAAAAGTTCATGCTTACTTGATTCCAAAATTTTGCACTTCAATAATTTACATCCCTGTAATTAATTCCATCTGAAATTACTTTTGAAATTTCACCAATAAACCCATTTTAATACTTTTTAGGTCTACAGCTCTCTTCCTCATAAATTCATTAGACATTTCCTGCAAGTCCCCAAAATAACATTCACTGGAAATACAATTACCAGTTTTATAATTGGAAATGCAAGCTTTAGTCTCTGTTGTTTTTAAATTCCAATGTAGTTGCTCTTCTCTATTACAACCTTTTTTATAATATTTCAGAGGAGCGCAAAGGCACTAGCACTCAAAAGCTGTTCAAAGTGGGCTGACAACATTAGCAACTCTAGCTGAGACCCAGAGAGCTGGGTGGTGTGCACTGGTACCTTTCTCCAAATCCCCCTTCTGTCTATTTCCATGCTTTTTTGACAGAATTTATCTCCTCACTTCATAGATTCATAGAATGGTTTGGGTTGCAAGGGAACTTTAAAGACCATCTAGTCCAACACCCCAGCAATGAGCAGGGACGTCTTCAACTAGACCACTTGTTCTTGTCCTTCCACCTGAACATCGTTGCTCTCTCCCATGACTTCCATCCCACTATATTTTGAAGGGCCATCAGTATGTAACTTTTTAAATTAAACTACATAAAAAAACTTTCATTTCATCAGTAGAAACTAGTGAGCAAAAGCCTCTTCCCCTTCAAGGAGAAGAGTTGCTCCATTCAAAGAGAGCACAAAATGAAACACGAGAGGGTCTGTCTCTGAACATCAGAAAGCACTTTTTTTTTACTTTAACGATGACTAGTCACTGGCAGAAACTATCCAGAGAGGCTGTGGAGTCTGTGTGGTTCTGTAAAAATGGCACCAGCTGTAGCTACCGTATTAACTAACAATTGGAAGAGGAGGTAATTTTTTGAAAGAATATAATTTCTCATTCTGCTTTCTACTGAAGAATGTTTAGTGAATCAAGAAATACGTGTGTGTACACATGGGCGCATATATATAAAGTGTGTAAAACATAACTGGAAAAATATTAGTAAATCTTTAAAAAGTCTACATACATGATTTCAGGGAAATGATGAATGAAATTTGAGGAATCTCTTTATTCTTTTACTACAGCCTTTTACAGAGGGAAAAATTAATTTTTACCTAAATAAACTAGCCACTGTATTTATAAATTATCCAAAAAGTTGTTTCTGGGTTCACAGAGGGAGTTTTACTGTTTTCTTTGCAATAAAGACAAGAATGCAAGCAATTAAGTAAAGAATATAGCTTTAGCTCAAAGCTGGCACAAGTATGCCCAGGATCTACATTTAAGGTAGTTCTTCCACTTTGATTTACTTTTAGTTTATACCATGCACTGAACTACCATAGTTTTAAAAAACATCCTCATGAATCATAGAATGGTTTGGGTTGGAAGAGACCTTAAAGATCATCTAGTTCCAACCCCCCTGCCCTGGGCAGGGACACCTTCCACTAGATCAGGTGAACCTATGATACACAGTAATTACTACAAATATCTAATTTAAAATAGGAAACCTCAGGATGGGGTGTTTTATAGGTCAGGTACTCAAGTGAAAAATCTATGATGACTCTACAAAAAAATTTTTGATGTTATAAAACTACCTACACAGATTTTTATTCACATTAATAGCTTCAGGATGTTTGGAGCAAAAATGTGTATTATGCTTTTTGCTATGTCCTTTTGTGGCTAATACACCACAATGTACTTTTATGTGTGTATATAAATACATACACACATATACACAAATACATACATAAAACCAGAAAAGTGTAAGCTAAATTTTCAGTGTTTGTGTAACAACAATGCTACCGGTATCATCAAGAGCTCACAGTCATGTGCATACCAAGCAGAAGTCTAGCCAGTGTTCACATACCACTGGCAGGAACATGTATGTTAACATAATAATTCTAAAAAATATATATTTTAAGCTAATTTAAAGCTCCTATTTTCAATTTTTAGGGATGATGAGGTTACTTTGTCTCTAATTTTTTTCAGGGTTTTTTTTTTTTTGCTTAACTCGAACTTTCAGTTATTACTGATAACTTTTAGCCATACTTTTTAAAAATGTATTTCTATGTCCGATTACAGCATAATCCTTTCCTAATAATTTTTGCTTCAGAGGCTTGGAAACTCAGTCTTGCTACTTTGTTAACTCCCAAAGGGAATCCTTGGCAATTTTTCATAAATTCCTGTAAAGCTGGGTAGGGATAGCCATCAGATTATTGCAGAAAGGACATCAAAAGAGAGGGGCGTGGTAAATGTAGTACCTTGAAATTGCAGTGAGTCAAGGCTGGGAAGGAAGCTTTCCTGGAAGGCAAGAAAGGAGGAAGGACGATAACAAAAGGTGCTGTCATTTCATACAGTATGTGTAGGGGTATGAAAAACCGCACCACCACAGCAAAAAAATATCGTCATGATTCAGAGGCCAGCTTAGACACAGATGTCTGAAGACAGGCCCATGATTCGGCATGGAAGCCCATGGAGCAAATCACTCTGAAAATAAGTAAGGTACACCAGTTCATGTGCTATATTAATCGACAAAAAACTCAAAGAAGGAGTTAGGGAACAAAGGCATCAAAGTCAGCTGTTGCACAACAGTTAAGAGGAAATGCTTTCAGAAGGGGAAAACCTTTTCCACGTCCTTATAACTTCATCTCAATTAGATTGACAGTTTTGATGATAGATAGACAGATAAATAAATAGACAGAGAGATATTACATGAGGTCTTGACTTCAATGACGCACAAGCCCTCCAGGTCTATTTAACAGAGAGCTAAATCCTTATTGCTATCAGCAGCAGATTTAATGATCACAGAAGAAATTAATCACATCATACACTGCCTCACTCTTCTCAGTGCACAGGCTGAACACCATATTAAGAGCCTATTTTCTTCCTTCTAGGTTTTTATTCATGTAAATAAATCAGTAAGGAGATATCACCTGCTTCATCAATGCTTGCAAGAACATCTACCCATTAGCAAGGACTTCAAGAAACCTGTTCTTTGCATGCCACGAACTCTTCTTTATCAGGTATTAATAACTTAGCTTGTATCACTTGAAGAAGCTGCTTACAAAGTCTGTAAAAAGGTTGAACATTTTTTTTTACTCTAATAACCCAAGTCATGGAGAGGCAACACCTACCAGAGGCCCTGTAGCACTCTGAGTGATCCTAACTTCTTTCTATTGAGATGCCTGGGAAAGACAAGCTATACCATAATTAACATAAAACAGGGAGATGTCAGCAAAACATTCCTGTGATGATAAAGCTATCAAAATATAGTCCTCATGAAAGTCCTAGTCCTTAATGAAGAAAATCTCCAAGAAGAGCACCATGAACAGCACCTGCTTCCTCAGCAATCTATCACAGTACTATAGAGCCACTTTCCTTTTGCTGAAAGACGAAGAAGATGCACTACTGAGTCAAAAGCCCTGGAGGTACCCACAGGGAGATAACTGATCTGAGTGAATTGCACTGTCATATAAGGCTGCCAAAGCACGATGAGACCACTGTATTCATCCTGCAGTACAGGAGAGGCAGGAGTATGTTTACATCAATTGTATCTGTGTCCATTAAAAATTACAAAAAAACCACTTGGAGGAGTGAAGAAGCCACCTGATTCAGCACTAGCATTAAGTAAAATAACGTATCCCTTAGAAGGTGTATGTTGCAAAACACCCTGGCAATATTCTACATAAATTATACCACATGTAACTGGAATTCATTCAACATTTTTTCTCCCACATTAACAACAAAGAATTCTATCAATGACAGAAGACACATAGGAAAACATACGCATGTGTGTGTATATATGTACTGCTATTAAATAAAAAAACCCCAACGCATAATTTTGTCTTTTTTGTTCATGTTTTTTGTTTTGTGTTTTCTTACCTTCTACTGCTCTCTTGAAGAAAACTTTACAGCTGCCACATGTAACCACCCCATAATGACATCCAGATGCTTCATCTCCACACACCAAACACACTTTGGAAGGTCTTGAAGATCCAGTTGATACACTTCTCAATGAAGAGCTGGAGTAAAAATAAAATTCAAACCAAAACAGCTATGAATATTTCAAATCACACTGGCCATAATGCAAAGTTCAATTAAGAATTTATAGCAGGTATATTGCTCAAGGCACCTAACAATTAGGAAACCACAACTCTTTCTGGCAGTGTCTGGTTGAATACATGAATTGCTTTAATTAGTAAGTGCAATATTTTTATTGTCTGTTTTAAAAAAACCATAATATATCAATGTTAATGTGAGAAGCTACCACAAGGGCAGTGGAATTTATTGGTAGCAGATGATTAAAACCGAAAACAAACAACAAACAAACCAACCACTCTGGCAGCAACCTGATAGCTACAAATTTTCTTTCTGTTTGTTTGTTTGAAGCCTTTACAGCTACGGAATACCTGTAACAAAACTGCTAAGACAATTTTACAAAGCAGTGTAGCAAAGTGGTATGCTTTTTTCCTGCTCACCACTACAGCGGTCCTTGAGCTTGTATCTAATATTTCTGTAATTTAACAGCTTACTTCCAAAGTAGTTTCAAAGCCTTTTCACATTCTGCAAGTGCAGAAGACCCTTCTATATGAGTGTAGGTGCCAGAAAAGCAGCATCAGAGGTTCAGAAACCATCCCGAAGTTTTGCAGACTGCTGCATCTCGCAAACCCAGCTTCAACCATCTACCATCTTAAAAGATGGGGCATTTATGTTGTTGGGTCTTTTTAAACCATGACTCTCCAAAGGTATCTTTAAGAAGAATTTTCCACTGACAACTCTAAAAGACAGCGCTCTTCAAAAACAAGTCACATTTCACGACGCAGTAAACCTCCTCCCTCCCTTCTTCCCCTGGGAACTGGAAATGCCACCCTAATGTAATCGGCACACTCAGAGAAACGTGCCAGATACCGAAGGAGATGAAAGCTTTGGATCTCTCCCACGCCTCTGGAGGGCTGGGGAGAGTCTCTCCTTCCACACAGACTCTCTTCTCCAGGTAAACGTGACCTCTTGCATTTCTTCACACATTATCTCTCTGAACACTGCCAAACAACTACAAAAACAACCCTAAGACTTCACACTGGTGGTGAAATAATCTGATAGTTCACATTGCAAGTCACAGGCTATTTGTCACTGGGAAACAAAGTTCACAGGTAGTCTTAATTCAAACATAAGATAACCAGGTTGATTAAGAAATTTCAAGTATGCACCCTTTGCCTTTTTCCGATTTTCTATCTTCCTTTAAAGAGTTATACAGAGGCAAACTGATCTATCCAGGGGCACAGCATGACTGTCACTCCAGATCAAGGACTGCAACTCTCTGGCCTGCAGCTTTACCTAAATGTCTTTTTAAATGATAGCATTCAGATGGCTAATCAAAATGTTCCAAATAGTATTCCTGCTCTTGTCTGCTCGCTAGTCTGTTAGATTTACTAGTTTCAGTCTTTGTGCTATTTATACTTTCATTACATAACATCACACTACTTGATAATTGCTAGGTGATGGCATTAGCTCATCTCTTAGAGAGACAAAGGAAAGACTCACCAAATCTATGTTAAACTAAGCTCTGTGTGCTCAAGTCACAGTCATACCTGTGCACAGTGCATTAATCTAGCCCTACAGAAAGGTACCTTCTTCAGGATTTGTCAAGACTGTTCTGGTATTCAGCTCTGCATTTGGATTTGTTTAGGCAATGAATAGGACTTCCTCCCTCTGGCATGTTTCATACTGCATGAAAAACATTAAGCCTCTCATTAAACAAAATTCTTCAAAAGGTGTCTGCTTTCTAGAGAACATGTCAATAACCTGGAAAACTAACTCCTTGAAAATTGTTTTTTTTTTGCAAACAGCAGTATTTTGTCAGAGAAGGGAAACGTTTCAACTCTGACACACCACCAAAATGTCTTGGGGCATTTGTAATTTTGATGCTGCATGTTCTCATTTCTTCATCAGACTAACAAAAATTTTCCTAGTCTTTCTACCCTGAAAAAGGTCAGGGTATAAATATATATATATATTTTTTTCTTTAATATCTAATAAAGTAATTCTGTTAGAGAGCTCTTCCTGTGGACAAACGGAGGTTTCCAGGGTATCACAGCAGTGTGTGTGGTTTTTAATTTTTTATTTTTATATATATATATATATATTCACACACACACTCTCTCTATATATATACTCTGTGTATATATATACATATGCATTATTTTTAGTTGAAAATAAATTGTCATGTAGGATTTGCCGAAGGTGGGAAAGTCTTTTTTTAGATACAAGCTATCCTATAAAATTTCACTTACACAGAATTATTGAGTAAAAAAAGACAGTAAAGACAGATTGAGATACCAATTGATCCACAACTATTATTAAATGCCTACCTAAGACATAATCTAGAGCATATTTTACACAGTGCTTTGCTAAATGAAGGGCTTGAATAGAGCTGAAAGGTGAAGGTACAGCTTGCATACAAAGCATGTATTCAACTACTCAGCCCCAGCATCACAGGTGGAAACTTCACATTCTAGAATAAAATTCAATTAACTCATACATCCTTTTAATCAGTTTAAAAGTGGAACAGGCTAAAACACAAATGAGGTATTTTCATTCTTAATAGCAGCATCCAACATGGAGCAGTTCTCGAATACTTTATTGCAAAGCAACATTGATACTAGCTGTTGGTACTTAAATCTCCTCCAACTTGTGCCAGCTCTAGCTATGATTGTCTTCTAATGAAAAATGTTCGGCTAGTTTTTAAAATCTCTTACGTTCTCTTTCACCCATGCTACACCAAATTATTTGCCAATTCAAAGTGCTGTTATATTACCTCATACAAAGTTAAAAGTGGTGTTTGTACATACCTACAAACAATAAAGGTCTGGATCCAAAAAATACGCTTGAATCATATTACTAAACCTCGGATTAAGTCATTCTCTCCACGGAAGCTTTTCTTTCTCAACAAGGCATGCATGGATGGTTACAGCTTTTCCTCCTGAATCTCTTACATTCAGGCTGTCATCCCTTTCTTAGCAACTTGATCATGGTGAACAAGATCTGCATCAAGATCTGACTGGTGAGCAAAGCACCTCTCTGCCTTCACTTCAAGGCCAGATATCCAGTGTTTACGACACAGAAACACTATTTATTTATTGCTCTTATTAAACAAGTTAATTAATCAGTATAGCTCTACATCCTACATGCTACACAAAACACCCACTTTGAAAGTGCTTTTCACACATGCTCCAAGTTAAATATTTCCCTTTTCATTACATTTCCACAGAAATATCCCATGATTTTCTTTTAAGTAATCCTAATGTAAACTGGTATGTGGAAAAAGTTAGACAGGTAACACTTAATAGGTAAAAATCTAAGTGTTGAATTCAGTTGATTACAACAGATACATACATTAGTTTAATTTTAGTTCTGGTTTTGGAGCTAAGGCTGATTTTTTTTTTTTTTTCCTCCAGATGAGAAAATTTAAAATAACTCAGATTATTTAGGTAAGACATCGTTCTCTCTTTTGAAAAAAATACAAGAGTTGGTCCAAACAAGAAGAGATACCACCAAAAAAAAAAAAAAAAAAATCAGGAACTTTACAACTGACTCACTGGACAGCAATTAGCCTACTGCCAAATATTCATTTGAATGACACGCTAAATCTAATGACATCTGTGGGCCACAGCAGGATTGACTCTTAAACTTTAGACCAAGTGAAAATGCTGTGTTTACACATTTGCCCAAATCCAAATTAGAGCTTAACAACTATTACTATCATATCCAACAGGGTTTTTTTAAACTTTCACACAATGGACTGTTGTTGATCCAGAAAATTTCTTGTGGGCAGCACCCTACTCTCAATATAAACTTGTAACTGAAAACACAAGAAATATGAAGTAATGCCACAGAGCTGGCTACTTATCACTGCTTCAGAAGTCAGTGGTTTCCATAGATTGATTAGGTGTTATTACTTTCATACCTCTCATTATTTCAAATAAAAGAAAACAACAAAAAAAAAAAAGGCAAACACACGTCCATCATACGCACACACACACAGAGAATCTGCAGGATTCAAACGCAAGAGATCTAATGGAGCATACATACTTTATCACAACACTTTTACAGCCAAGGGCAGCATGGAGCAGTTTAACAATGCCAAATGGATCTTCTAAATGATTTGTAAAATGGTTGCTTAGATGGCTTCAGTAACATTTGTCACGTTGTAGGGTATGTGATTAGGAATAAGCCTGATTTATTATCCTCAACAGTGCAAATGCTGGCAGTTAAATGCTGACCTTGACTAGCCATTGCCATCAAGCTCATTTGTGTCTCTGCAAGTTGGCTTTAGTAATAGTTATATGGAGAATTAATTAGAAATAACAGATTTTGTAAAGAAGAGTCAATAAACCCACAGATAATCCAGCATTTTAAAAGCTGATTATATAGGTTATTATGCTTTTCAAACCAGATGTCATACAGCAGCACAGTTTAAACAAACTATGCCTTGCTGATGACAAAATGAAGCACTCCAAAGAAGCATAAGCCACAGTATGAATCCCAAACTCATTTGTTCAGAGCGCTTTTATTACTATGAGATCTAGATTAGTCCTTTTTAATTCCACGTCATTGACTTTTCTTTCTCGTAAAGAAATTTTCAGGTAATAAAACAAACAGAAGGAACCTGGGTACACCTCAATAAATAAGAGTTATGCAAAAACAAAGGTAAAAAGAAGTCTTTTTACCAAAAGAAAAAAAAAAAAAACCCACACCAAAACTTTAAGAGGATGAATAATCAAGAGATTCAAGATGCAGAGACTGCCACGTCATTGACTTTTCTTTCTCGTAAAGAAATTTTCAGGTAATAAAACAAACAGAAGGAACCTGGGTACACCTCAATAAATAAGAGTTATGCAAAAACAAAGGTAAAAAGAAGTCTTTTTACCAAAAGAAAAAAAAAAAAAACCCACACCAAAACTTTAAGAGGATGAATAATCAAGAGATTCAAGATGCAGAGACTGCCAGCATCTCCCTTCTATCC